GATCGAGAAATATAAAACTATTAATTTAAAGATGTTGATTATATAGGGAAACAATATATTTTATGTTTATTGCAAAAAACGCAATGCTTCATGGGAGTATGTGGGTACTAAAAAGCTCTTTTGGCATGATTTGCTTATTGAGATTCTCTGATTGGTGGAGATTTATGGGTAATGTAGTTTTCCACCGGAATACTGCTGTTAAAAACTAATATTAAAAGAAAAGGTTAACAACCTCACAGCAGGCTTGTCTTTAAAGAATTAAAAACAAATTATCTGCTTGATGGGCTTTTTACTTCTGGAAGCCAGCTTCTGCACTTTATTTAGAGATGTAATCTTACCCCGTAACTCGATGTGTAATTATTTTGACACCATATGCAGTCTCTCCCATAGTGCTGAAAGCTTGCTTAATGAAGTTTTCATCCATGTATGGGTCTAACTGTAAAACAAATAATGGGATTAATGGCCTGTCCGCATATTTTAAACAAACACCATGTTAATGATTTACAGAAGCAAGCAGAGAAAAGGAAAGTTCAGAGTTCTGCATCACGTGCCCGGTTACAGCGCGGGCGTCTGTGACGTAGACACGTTTAGTACACTACACCCTGTTTAGTTGCCCAACTCGAAATCATAACACGATTATGTAGTTTGTCCCATTATTTACACTACGACACAAAAGCACATATGCAAATATGAGAGGCCTGTCGACAATAAACTTGAAAAAAAAAAAACTACCGTTAATTAGCACTATGTTTACAAATGTGCTAGAATATTATTTTAATTCGGTGTACATTCAGCATTTATTTCTCCAGTTTATTGAGTATTTGAGTGGCCTGTTGGCCGTGCTTGCGCAACATCGAGCCAAACCCACATGCTGCTGCTTTCTAATCTACATAACTTACTCGCTGAGTTATCGAAGAAAAGTTAACAAAAACCCATTTCTTACATCACCCATCCATAAACTTGTCATTCTGTTGAACATCTTGGCTGCTGAAATTGCTGCACCTCAGAGGTTTGTAAAAAATAATTAAGCGACAGTTGGCTACAGAATTTGCGTGGTGGTTCGTGAAGCTAGCAGAACGTTTAGTGAACACACACACACACACACACTTCCGCTTCCGGCTGCGCAGCACTCAAAACCAGTGAGTTCACTCCCCAACCGCAAAATCGTTTTAAGGTTCACTAAGGGTTTAGTACACCGTATTTATGTAAAGCATCCATGCATGGATACATTACCAACAGTTTTTGTTTTGTAATAAAAATAAGTAAATAAAACGCATATGCTGCGCTTATGTTATTCCGAGTTTGACTTCAAGGGGGCAGTAGTGACATTTGAAAAATTCCTGCCAGTCGTGCACCAGAAGAAGAGACGCAAGGGCAAGGCGTGTGATGACTTTGGTATGATATTGATGGAGGGAAGCAGTAGCCGAAATGAACACGTTACGAACAACATTTTTGCGCTTTTCGGGGGCACAGAGTTTGTGTTGGTATGTGGCATCGCTCATTTATTTAAAAAAAAAATTTTTAATTAGTTTGCTGAACGTTTCTTTTGATTGTGAATTTAACGACCAGCGTTAGCGAAAACCTCACATCAATAATAGCTTTGCCATAGACCCAATAAAATATTAATGGCATTAATCTAATTGGAATATATTGCAAAACCACAACTAAACAGCTAACACAAAAATACAGTGAAAAACAATACACGAGTGTAATGATATAGTTACTTTACAATAAATACTAAATCTCTTTCCTTTTAAGAGCGACAATGTGTTTTTATTCATATTACTTTTAATTTTACATTTGTCATGCATGTCACACCAGTGTACAAATTCAGCTGTATATTGTCAATCTGCCACTGAGTTTGGTGGAAGACTTTTAGTCTTCAGGACTCATGGACAGTCCATGCCATGCATGTGTAAATATTTTACATTATGTTCTAATTCACTTTCAGGAGTAATGGCCCTCACTCTATCATATTCAGCAGCAGTCAACTACGCTCTATCAGTTCCTTGGTTCTGTCAAGGACTGGAACCGAGCAGAAAACTGTCCTGCAAGGAACCCTGAACACCAAAGCAGAGGGAGCCTGTGTTTTCCAGCAGCAACTCTGGCACTATCAACAAGTCCGCACAGTCAAACGTGGGACAGAATATCAGCCGAAGAACATCAAACGAAAGAGGACCCATGGGTGGATCAAAAGAATTAGCACTCCAGGTGGGATTGAAGTAATCCTGCGCCGAATGCTCAAAGGACGAAAATCCCTGACACATTGAGACTCTGACCGGACAGTTACTTTGATTTACCTTTGAAGTGAATCTCAGTTGAATGTCAGCTGGGCAGTAGAGCTTTTGGGTATCTATTTAAAATATCTGTCAAATTAAAGAAATTAATGGGCAATGGCGCTGAAAGACTTCATTGAATATTATTTTTTTTAATTCAATTTAATGGATCTTATCCATCTTCATATTAGCAGTTGAGTACATTCATGTCAAAGGTTCTGCTGTATGCACTTACACTCTGATCAGAGCATTTACTGTTTTTTTACTGTTTACCTTTTTTTTGAAAACAACATCAGCATGCTTCATATAAGTAATCAATTTGGGACAGGAAGTATAGGTGGCAAGTAAAAACAAATCTAAAATAATATACAAATGAAAACTACATTTGTCATTATCAGATTCTATTCTGATTGTTCTGACTAGTTTAAAAAAAATAAAATCAATACACAAATAAAAAAACAGTTTGTCATGATGTTTTGTATCACATTTTATTTTAGTATAGTTAATTTTTATAAGCAATTGTATGTGCATTTAATTTGTATAATGATAATAGTACAAAAGTAAAAAAAACAGGCTGTGAAGTAACTTGGTGAATATTGTGTCTGAAATACCATTTTTTAAATTTCTTTTCACAGTAATTCCATTTTATTGCATTATGGGTTCACACACATAAGATCAAAATCAGCAAGGACAACACATTATTTTTAGATTGTCGTATTTACTGTTTCATATAAGAAAAATAATAATGCGTAGAAAAATAATTCTATAAATTTTTACATTTACAGTGTTCATTCAAATGTCCTTTCTTGCTTGCCCATGCCGCCTAAACTGATTTTATCATGCAGGTGATTTAGCATGCCACTTTCAGTGAGTAAACTATATGGAGATCTATATAATGCTTTCTGACATGCAGTTCCACTTACTACATGGTTGCTTTATCACATTTAAGCAAATGTTAAGCAGTACAATCAGTGCTATATATTAACTGAATAGTATCTCATTCACTGATTTTTTGAAGGAATATTACCAAAGTCCGAGCTTTCACTCTTTTCAACCTCAGATAGAAGCTCTTCTGGTGAAGGGTTTTGGTCATTATTTGTGTGTTGTGCATTAGTGGCCCTTGAGGCATCTTCTGGTTTCGCTTGCTGTTCTGAACCAGCACCAGTACATGGATTTTCTTTCCCAAAGTTGAAGAGTTTGCCTGGATTTAAGGACTTGCTGGGAGACTGTGTTTTCTCGTGGCTCCCATGTGTAGCTGCTTGTGCAACTGCTGCAGCAGCTTCCTTTTTTAACTCTTGGGATTTGAGGAACTTTAGAAAACCTGGAAGTTTGGCCTCACCGCTTGTGGGAGAAGTGGTAGAGGTGAATTTACCCTGAAGTGGGATTATCTGTTTAAGTTTCATTACATTATTGTTGCCTAAAAGGGAGCTGGGTCTCTTGAGTTTATCTCCTCCAGAGCTGAATTTGGCCCCTGGGCTTTTTTCATGGTGATGGTCCTCACCTCCATTCAGATCGGACTTGTCTTGCTCACTGTCTTGTCGTGCCAATTCCTCTGCCATTTTCTGATGCTCCTCTTCATCTTCAGACTTCCTCCGTTGCTGCTGCTGGTGCTGTTGAGCGAGCCGTTCATGTTTCTGATACAAAAACAATCACCAAGCCAATTTAACTTAACAAACCAAGATTTTTTCATCTCACTGTGATGTTAGAACCATTAAAAAGACATTTTAATGTTTTATTTTTAATTTCATTGGACAAAACCAAGTTGTAGAATCTATTTAGTATTTACGGGTTATGACATTAAATATTAATATCTATACATTAAAATTCTTTGGATATTGTTAGTCTATGCTCATCATGTGCTGTGCTACCTTGAGAGCTTCTCTCCGCTGGTATTCAAGTTTGGCCATCTCATCTGCCACCCAGTTTGGAATATCAGGAATTGCAACATGAATTATATATTTGAGCAGAATGGCAAAGTGCTGAAAACCATATGAGAAAGAGTCACATTCAATTTACTACATTTTATTCATAATTTATTCAAGCTTTAGATTTGTTATACACATATATATACACTAGATAATACTAATATTTTCATTCAGCAAGAATTTATCAGAAGACATTTACAGTGTTACAAAAGATCTCTATTTTAAGTCCTGTTCTTTTGAACTTGATCATGGTTTTAACAAAAATATTAAGCAGAACAACATATAATAATAATAAGAAGAAATGTTTCTTGAGCAGCAAATCAGCATATTATAATAATTTCTCAAGCATCATGTGACACTGATGACTTGAGGATTGTCTGCTGAAAATTCAGCTTTGCCATCACAGGAATAAAGTATGTTTTAAAATATACTGAACAGTTATTTTAAAATGAAATACTTCACAATATTACTGTTTTTATTCTATTTTTGATCAAATAAATGCAGCCTTGTTGAGCATATTCTTATTTAAAAATACTCCTTACAAATTAAAAAAAAAAATCTTACCACAAACTTTTTTTGCAGTTTTTTTTCTATGGAATGATATTACTTCTCTCTTACCTCTAGCACTATGACAGAGATGATGGCCATCTCAGGGCTCAACCAGGGGAAGAGTCGTTGCAGCTGTCCACACTGGCCAATAAGGTAACAGTTCACAATTATTGCGATCAGACCCATTGCCTCCATTGTGGTCTGTTCAAATTTTAAAAACAAACAAGCAAAAGAACAAGTTCAACAAACACGAAATACAATCCTCTATAAATTATTTATTAAGTAATTATTCTGAATGGATCTCCTGACCTGCCATTGTCCAATGTTTTCAACCCTTTGCCCAAAGGGTCTCTGGAGGCCTGTGCAAAGTTTTAAAGCATCGCTTCGGATTTCTACAATGTTGTTTATCAGGGCACACATGGCTGCCAGAGGAAATGCAGAGGAGAAGAGCACGACGTAGCCAAACTGTATGAACATTTCCTGGTAATCTTGAAGAGTATCCTGCAAGTCGAAATAAAAGAAAATGGTCTTGTTTTTGATACAGTTAGTACACCAGACATTGGGTTCAGAAAATAGCAAACAAGTAAGAAAAATAGCATTTCTAAACTTGTATTGTTAACAATGACACCAGCTGGTCAGACCAATGATCTAGGTGGAGGAGCACAGACCTCGTAAGTTAGCATGCAACTTTCAATCTCCGGTTGGGTCAAAACAGTAGATTCAGTCTCCTCTGGAGGATCCATCCAGGATATTTTCTTTTCCAAGCTGTTGTTTTCCCCAGCAGATTTGGGCTTTCTTTTCTGGGGTCCTTGAGGTTTACTCAGAGAATCATCCAATTCTCTGTCATCATCATCGTCATCATCACGTATATCAAATATTAAGGATGGATCCATTCCTTCCTCCACAAGAGTAGGACTGCCATCGTCCTGTAGGCTGGTCTGTGCTTCCACAACCTTGTCTTTGTATTCCACCTTCTCGGTGAAGCTGACCTTCCTTTGCTTTAGTCCAGCATCACCATCCCCTTCCTCTGTTTTGAGAACTCTGTAGCTGGCGATTAAACTCTTTCTCTCTCTCTTCTCCGATTGCTCTGGAGGTGTGCCACTTTTATTCACATCCAGACTGGCTTGGCAAGTCAGTCGTATCCTTTGCACTATCAAATGCCTATAGTTCAGGAGCATGGTTTGAATCAAGTCCCATAATGTCCTCAGAGCACCTAATTTATGGTGCTCATAGAGATACGGCTGTAACACTTCTTTGATATTTTGTAGAAATTGGCGGAAGATCAAAAACGTGGCCAGCATCTGTAAATTAAAGAGAGTCATTTTTTGTCTGGGGTACAGAATGACTCGTTCATT